TGGCTCCACCAGTTCAGCATTCTCCTGCTTCCCACCGGGCTGAACATACAAGGCTGAAAGATTCAGTTCCATGAATCCCTAAGAAACAAAAAGAACCCTCTGGTATAGTCAAGAAAACCATGTTTTATCTACCACAGAAAGTAAAAAGGATTCAGCAAGTTTCCAATAGGTTTTATGAAGAAGAACACTACCCACAAGTTTGCTCCAAATTCTTGCATCTTACTACGAAAATCAACTCCCCTCCCTCCAGCAACAAAACTACTCAGCATTGCCTCCCTCCCCCCAAAACTGGGCATACACATACAAAAATACAATCATTGGATCTTGCCAAAACATGCATTCTGCATCTACTGATTAAAACAACAGACAAGCACTCCACACTGTAAAGCCTGACTTTCTGCCAAGACGTAAAGTCGTGGCAGTACCCTTCTAAGTGTTCTCATACCTACACAGTTCTTACTGAAACTGAGCTGAGAGATTCGGATAATGACACAGATGGACCTGAATCATAAACACCCTCTGCCCTGGCTTACAACTTAAGTGTCTGTCCAATGCACAACGTGCAGTCTACCATGGTTACACTGTCCAACATTGTACACTTCACAAAGTGTCCAGGTTTGAGCTAAATAGAATTAATTTTCTATTTAGTGATTTTACTTTTCAGCTCAGTCTCTTCTAAGTGACTGAACTTGCTGAAACTAGCAGCATGTTTTTCCAGGCACTGTCTACTGCTACAAGTGATAATGACAAGGCCATTGTCTCACCATGGGTGCCGTGTCTGTGCCTACGGGGGGCGAGCGGACCCAAAACTGACCAACGAGGTATTCCATCCCACATACTCAGTCACACTCAGTAAAAAGCTGAGGGACTACAAGGGTCTCGACCCTTCTTCCATCTTGGACCCTTCAGTCTGTCACAACCCCTTTCAATGGCTGAAATCCAAGCAGAACCCTGCTAGTTCGTCTGCCTCTGATCCTGATTCGTGTGTTTCTGCATCCTGCTCCCACCTGCTCCTGAGTCTGGACTGGGACTTTTCCAGTGCCCTGCTCCACAGAGCCTCTGGTGATGTATACGCCATTGGGGGGAGGGTGGTGGGTGGATTTTATATTCATTTTGTATACATATTTGTACATATTTCATTATTTTCCTATTTACATTATTATCCTGTTGTATTAGCATTATTGTTTTATTAAATCTGTTAGTTTTAGTTTCCAACCCGTAAAGTCTCTCTCCCTTACTCTCTTTTCTCGTCCCTTCTAGGGAGGGGAGAGGGGTTAATAGAGAGTGTCTGTCCAGGATTTAGTGGTCAGCCCAGCCCTAAACCATGACACAAAGTAAGAGATTTTTTTAAACCAAGATCATTTTCAGAATTAAGTTAATGGCATAACCAATCTTCAATGCCTAGAGCAGAGAAGGCCAAAACAATTTATTTAACTATCCCGTTCCTCGCTTAGCTGCTCCCGCTGCAATGTAACACTACTCTAAGTGAGACACTAAAAATCTAATTAACTTGCTCTCATTAGTTGTTTGGATGAATCAGGGAAGTCATATTATGACTAGGAAGACTTGCTGGTATTAACAAGGCATAGTCAAGTAACCAACATATTTCTTAACCTCTCGAGTCCATCTCGGTTTGGCGTTATACTGAGAACACCTACAGCTATTTCACTTACCTGTATTATTTATACAAGATATGCATCAGCTTCAGATGCATCAGCAATTCTAACAAGCTAATCAACTTAAAAAGAATAAAAAACATCTATCAATTGTTAGAAGATAGCATGAAAATAATTTGTTCTACAGAAACCAGACCATCTCTCTTGCACTATCAGATTCCACCTTAATCAAAAAGAAAGCTCTCACCATAGTTAGACACCTTGGGATGCAGTCACAAAATGGTAAGTTACAAGCAGGGAATACCAGTTTTGCTCTTCACAAAACTACTTGCTTCAAGTAAAAGATTTTTCCCATTACAGGCACCCAACCAATCCTTTCTCTGCCATTCCTTTCAGCAGCACATGCTTCCCCCCTGACCTTGGAAGGCAGGTTCTCTTCGCAGATGTCAGCATAGCCCTTATCCCTCAAGACACAGTGCATGTAGATATCCTCCTCAGTGGACGTGTCACACAGAAAGAGATGCAAAATGCCTTTCACGTATTCATCCACAATGCCCACAAGTATCTTGGAGCCACACAGCTTTCTGAATAGGAGAACTGCTGCATCGGACCATGTACCCTAAGGAAGAAACAAGTTACTATAAACAGACCAAAATCCACTGCCTGAGACTTTCCCTTGTGGCCATTTGTCAAAAAGGCAATTAAAGCTAGGTCAGGTTAGGGACAAATAGAGGAAAACCAGGCAGACAAGCTTCCCAGCACTGAACTAAATCAAACTACCCAAAGTCTGCAATGATAGTTACACTGGGAATGCCCTTTCACCCTAAACAGCTATTTTCAAACACAGTTTGACTGCATTCACCAGTAATAATATCACAACTGACTAAAATACCCTTGCTTGTTCGTTTGTTAGCTTTTGGCTTTGTTTTGGTTTTGTAGTGGTTTTCTAAGTTCCTGCAAGCATACGATTATGAATGTTAGAAAAAAAAAATCACAAGCTTTTAAGAAGTTGCTAAAGCTCACCGTAATGAAAATTGTGACTCTGTAACCCTCAGAAAACACAGAATTTTCCTAAAATACTATCTTTAAGACACAGCAGCAGCAACTCTGCTTACATGCTTGCTTTCAGAGATTTTCTCTCTCAGGCCTCTAGACCAAGAGGTTTCCCAGCACAGAGAATCTTTCTCCTGGCCCCTATAATTCTTCGGCTATGCTGACTGCACCAAAATAACTCACTTAAAGCTTCATCACAGACAATTTTTTTCTAAACAGAAGGCTAGCAGGGGAAGAAACAAGTTCGCCACTATTAAGCAAAAGAGCAATCTGTTTCTGCAGAAAATTAATTCAACAAAACCAAAATTGCATGTGCACACATACCTCCACAGGTTTTACCCATGCCAAGGAACATGGAATGGCCTGAGCAGGGAGCTTCAAGTAGCACCATCTACAATAAGAGACACAGACATCACCATTACAGCAAAAACAGAGCAAAACCAGGCAGAGAGCAGAACTTTCTCCTCTTATGGGTTTTAAAATAATCTTAGGAATAGAGAGGCACATGTTGGATTTTGCACTTATGAATAAAACCCAACAGTAGTTTTGGAAAACATCTGATACCCAGAGAACGGGCATAGCAGAAACAGCAGTAACAACAGGTCCCTTATGCCTTCCCTTGCCCAAGCATCTTCCCATTATAAACTCTCATGATTACAAAGTTACAGACAGAAAGCAATGACTTTTGAACCAAAGGATGACAATGGCAAAGATTGAAAAGGTGTTGAATTGCAGAAAACGAGTACCTCTAACACTGGAAATGTATCCCACTCGGACTGATACTCATTTAGGACATTTACATCCATTCATGGAAGTAGCAGGATGATAAGGGAGCTTGCCTCAGTGACAGAAAGTGGCAAGAGGAAAGATGGAGGAATGAAGGCAGGAACAGGAAAGGATTTAGTCCAAAGTTACCGTGAGGGAGTGATGAACAGAACTGATGAACAAAGGGCCTGGAGTGATCAGCAAAACAGGTCTTAAACAGTGCCACCTCAAGCGTTAGCATGTAAGCAAGGAAATGCCTGCAAGGCACCATTATGGAATAAAAAACTATATCCTTTCTAGGAAATCTGCATGTTGGGATGTCTTTCTGAAGACAGGCCAGTCAGTCTCACCTTGATTCCTGGGAAGGCAATGGGGCAACTAATTCTGGGAACTGTATCCAGGGGCATGGAAGACAAGAAGGTGACTGGGAGTGGTCAGCATGGATTTTCTTTCTTTTCAACTTTCTACAATGAAATGACTGGCCTGGCAGGTGAAGGGAGAGCAGCGAGTATTGTTTACCTCAACTTCTGTCAGGTTTTTGACACTGCCCTGTAAGATTCTCATAGAGAATATGATGAAATATGGGCTGGATAAGCAGTGAGGTAGATTGAGAACTGGCTGAAGGGCCAGGCCCAGAGAATGGTGATCAGTGGTAGAGAGTCTAGTTTGAGGCCAGGAACTAGCAGTGTATGCCAGGGGTCAGTACTGGCTTCAGTACTGTTTAACATCTTCATTAATGATCTGAATGACAGGGGAGAGTTTGCCCTCAGCAAATCTGTGGATAATACGAAACTGGGAGGAGTGGCTGATACACCAGAGGGTCATGCTGTTATTCAGAGGGAGCTTGACAGGATAAATGGGCAGACAGGAACCTCATGAAGTTCAACAAAGTCCTGCATACAACAGTACATGCTCCAGGCTGATCAGCTGGTAAGCAGCATTTTTACCATGAGGACGACCAAGCACTGGAACAGGTTGTCCAGAGAGGTTATGGAGTCTCCACTCTTGGAGACATCCAGAGGCTGTCTGGACATGGACGTGGGCAGCCTGCTCTAGATGACCTGGGCAGGTTGGACAGGATAACTTTCAGAGGTCTCTTCCAACCTCAGTCATTCTGTGATTCTGTCACCCATGTATAATTTACTTACTTGAGGAATCTCAGCCCAGACTTTCGGACAACTTTGAGGTTTCCATAATCTGGGAAGAACACCTCTACTTCTTGGTCATTGATCACACGGTGGATGACAACGCGGTACCACCAATTCAAGACGGTTACACAGCAAAGCTGTCCGGGCTTTACTGAAGACTCAGGCATGATATAACGATCAGAAACAAGTTTGTACGAGTAACAGTGTCTGCAAAAGATCATAATGAAAAACTATGCTTGGTAGGATGCAGGAGATGAACAAGGAAAAACATACAGAGCTTCAGAAGAATTCTGATTTCTCAAAGTCCCCAAGACATGAATTTTCAGGAGTTGTTTTAATAGATGCTTTACATCTCTGTTCTGCTACACTTAAACTGAAATGTCAATAAAAAATGCAACCCCGAGCTTCTACCATTTAAATGGCATTCTTGGCGTCCAACAGAAATTTGATTAATAGGAATTAATCAGAGGCTAAATACAGTCACTCTGGTCATTAATTTTTAACATCACCTTGACACGTCAACACTTCTTATGATCCAGGTTCTGGAGTACTAGCTCACACACACAGCATCTCTCTGCAGAGCCTGTAATCACACTTACGTGTGCCCCACGGTCATCAACCATTTACTTTGGCACACAGTTAACAGCAACTGTAGCACTGTCACAGTGGAATAGAATCCCAAACGCATTATGTAGGTGACACAAAGCCACCGACAGAGCTTTGCTTTCAAATATAGATACGACAAATTCCATTACCTGTTGCTTTTTGATAAATGTGGGAGATACAAGTAAAGGCCTTAACTGAGCACATTAGCAACCATAACACAGACAATAGAAGGGTGCAAAGGAATCCTAAAGTTCCTTTCCATAACCTTTCCAGGCTTTTAAAGTTTAGGACTGTCTAGGGCACAGGCAAACCACTGCAAATTGCTATTAACCATACTCACTGCCTGCTAGTTAAAAGGAATGGCTAAGCATTATGAGTACAGGTTTCGGTACAGCACCAGCACCTCAGTATCAAGTAATCAAGCCAGCAGTGACCATAACTAACAGCTGGGTGCCCTGTTCCCTCAGCACAAACACACACACAGCAGGTAGAACTGAATCAGCATAGCATGTTCGCACCTCATCTCAATCATCATGTCCTGCAGTATATCAGATGATAAACTGCTGCAGATGTGGATGTAGAACTGGCTAGGAGAGACGATAAATTCCACAAAGACCCCCACAAGAGAACGTCTCTCCAGTGGTGGTAAACTGCAAAGGCTTTGGTCCTGAACAGCATCTGGGGGGATTTCTGGAGTCATCATCAACTTGTCCAGTAGTAACTGCTCCAAATCTTGAGGCTACAAAGGGATAAGAGAAAGGTGGCACTCGGATGCCTTGTCATGCTCTGAGCACACATAATTGGCATTTCCATTACGGTGGGGTAAAAAATAAAAAAAAAGGTTCTGTTTTCCTGGGGATCTGTGATTTACTGAATACCAGAGAATCCCAACAAATTGCACAAACTTGGACTAAAACTTCTCCTGTGATAGAAACCTTCATTTTCACGCTCTCTCTTCCTTCCTTCTGTCTTCCCTCCAGTTTAAAGAAGGGTGCAACAGAAACACCTTCCTCGTATTCCTGCAAGGAATAACGTAGAGGAATTGAAGTCACATCACATATTTAGACAAAAGTATTGAATGGCTATTGCTAAAAAGGCAAAACAAGAAAGAAACCCACACCAAAACCCCCAAACTAAACACAACCCACCTGTTTCTCTGATTTTACCCAAAAGATGTTATTTCTATGTTCCATGACCATGAAAGAGCACATAACTGAACCAGCAAAACTCTATCTGAAAATGATCCACAAGTGACAGAAGGCACAAATGCATCTCACTTTCACGCTAGAGCTATTTCCCAAGGATAAAACCAAACAAAACCTATAAATTCTGTTATTTTCTCACTAGAAACAAATTTGTAGGCGAGCGAGTTGTTAGCACAGCTTACAACTTAGTGTTATTCTTTAACTGCTGAAAACACTACTTCACTTGAACTAGTTTGGATGGGAACCTTAGTAAGATATCAGCTACTTTCACTGCCTCAAGAGCTTCCTTTTGTGCCAATCAGCACTCCTCCAATGATCAGAAGACAAAATTCTTTCAAATTTTACTCACTGTGAATATGCTACAAGTTGCCACTGCATTATATATCAGACAATGCATGGAAAAACTGTCTTCCATGTCTTATACTCCCATTGTGTAAGTTCAACTGCAAACAAAGGGTTTTTGCAATACAGGCTCTTTTAAAGAAGCAGATGAAACTCTCCTTCTGCAGACTGAGCAAGGGCTAATGTTTGTTTTTGGTTTTTTTGCAAGTTAAAGTTTTTTAGTAAAACACTGAAGCATTAACTAAAGCCTTTGACACAGTCTCCCACAGCATCCTCACAGCTAAACTGAGGAAGTGTGGTCTAGATGACTGGGTAGTGAGATGGACCGTGAACTGGTTGAAGGAATGAAGTTAGAGAGTTGTGATCAATGGGACAGAGTCCAGTTGGAGGCCTGTATCTAGTGGGGTCCCCCAGGGGCTGGTACTGGGACCAGTACTATTCAATATATTCATTAACAACCTGGTTGAGGGAACAGAGTGTACTGTGAGCAAGTTTGCTGACAACACAAAACTGGGAGAAGTGGCTGACACTCCAGAAGGCTGTGCTGCCATTCAGTGAGATCTAGACAGGCTGGAGAGTTGGGAAGGAAAAATTTAATGAAATTCAACAAGGGCA